GGGAAAATAGTATAATAATAATAGTTTTTTTTTTAAATTTAAACTACATAAAAGTTAGGAATTTATAATAGTAAATAATAAATAAACAATTAACGAGATTATTTTTAAATAGTTAAAAAAGGTATTTTTATTATAAACTAAAACCCCCCCCCTTAAAGGGCTTAGTATACTTAATAAGCTTTAATTATTAGTTTTAAATAATTATAAAAGTTATATAATAACTAGATTTATATAAGAGTATTTTAAAAATAATGTTTACTTATTATTTTTATTATTATATATTTTTTATATCCTTTAACTTCTAGATATAATTATTTTTAAACTTATTAAGTTTATTTATAAAAAAGAGCTTAGTAAAGAGAAAATAATAAATAATTTTATTATTATTAAAAAGTAGTATTTTTTAAATTATTATTAACTAGCTCGTTTAGCTAGTTTAATATTATTTAATATACGAAGTAAATAAAAAGTAATTAAATTATATCCCCTTAGTATAGCTAAGCTATTTATTAATTTAATAATTATACTTAGTTTAGTTATATTATTAAAAAAGATAATAAATATTAAGTAAGTAATTAATAATATTAAAAAAATAATTAACTAAGTATTAGTAATGTTTATTATTAACTAATTAATTTTTAAAAAGGCTAGCGAGTTTTATAATTAATTAAAACTATTTATAGAGCTTAGTTTAAATTATAATATTTAATAATTATTATTTAAAAAAATAAAAAAGGTTTTTAGTAAATAAGCTTATTACTTAGTTATATTTTAGTACTAAGTTCGAATTTTAAAAACTTAAGTTAATTAGTTAAGGTTTAAAAAAAAAAGTATATTAATAAACTTAAATACTAAGTTTACGAATATTTAGAATATATAAAGAGTTTAAAAGGATTTTAGTAACTATTTAATTAGTTTTAGTTAACTTATAAGGGTCGAATTACTTAGTAATAATATTAATTATATTATTATAATAATAGAAAATAGTTAAATAAATAAGTATAGTTAGTAACGATATTTTGTTACTATGATTTTTAGGGTGGCTAAATAGGGGGGGTGGCTAAAAGGGGGTGGGTCGACTTAAGTGTCATGCTTTTTCCTGACATAATAAGTACTTCAATCCAGTTTGCGAATATTAGAAGTCCCAGACGAGGTAGATCACACCACAATCAGTGTGGATTGTTGATGCCTGGCAAAATACCATCTGCCTCGTGTTGAAGCCGACTCAGAGTCGAGAAATCTTCAAAGATATCAAAATTGGGCTTAGCATCAAGCCTCATCACCTTGTCCAACGATACTAACGTCAAGGGTTGAAGTACAAGTCGATGGAAGTACGGGCAGAATTTTGAAGAACATAATATTTGTCATCTTGTTCGTGAAGATTACTTATTATGCTGAATACCTTTCTATACGCATTGAATCAAACGTTGAGGCACATCCGTTGCTCACTAAAAGAGGGAGACTAGCATTGTTGATGTGTGTCTCAGAATGTATCTGTTGATCAACTGTTATCTTATGGCGGACAAATTCAGAGTCATCACGTGCGAGATCGCTCGGCCACAAGCGTAACCGTATCTTTCCTCATCGCCCTTCGTATACCTAAAGTAATAATCCTAATCTGATTTCAATCAGCTACATGCATCATTGGCTCGGCTTATCGTACAGTAGCATTCGGAGACGCTCCCGGTCATGCATCAAGCATACTGCGACTCAGACACACATCCTTTCCCGCCATACGCATAGGAGACACTATGGTAGGTAAGCACGTGGTAAGGAGATAATCCTTATCAGCTCTTCGCCATCTTAGCATCGGGCCAATCTTCGAGCATTGGCGATCTTCTTTGTCGTTGGCGATCTTTGTCAGACATCGGAGAAAATTCAAGCCGACATATGCACAACCTATGTAAGTAGGTAGATAAGAAGATTTCTTAAGGTCATCGTCCACGACTAGCGGCCTGATCTGCTTCCTTCATGAAATGGTGCAGGTTGGGGAAACATAGGAAGAATTAGAGGATCACAAAACCACAATTCGTTTTCCAGCTCTTTCGTGTAGGATAACCTTCAAGCTGGCAATATATCGGCAACTATCCGTCGACATGTCTCCCGTTCCTGTTTCCGGCGGCTCCGGTCACAACCTGGTACCACTTCAATTCGACACCTATCCTTTGGGAACGATCAAGCCTAATGGGTGGTTCCGAGACCAGCTCCGGCTTAGTGCAAAAGGTCTTGGAGGCAACTTGTTTCACTTCTATCGTTTCGTCAAAGAAAGCACTTGGCTTGGGGGTACATGGGAGTACACCCCCTTGAACGAAGCAGCCCCGTACTGGTACAACTACATTGTTCCTTTGGCCTATGCGCTTGACGAGGCATCAGATCCGAATTTGTTCATCGGAATCAAGAAACAGGCGGATTCTTTTCTTGATTACACGTTGTCTCACCAAGCTGCGGATGGTTGGCTTGGCCCGGAGACCACGCCCCATACTCGCGGTATTTGGGCGCGCTGTCTCTTGCTCCAAGGCCTCATGAATCATGCCATTGCGGACTCAACAAAACGGCAGGCCATCATGGACGCGATCTTTCGTTTTGTTAGACTAGTGCACGTTATGCTCAAGGACAACTATGCTGGGTATATCCCACGGAAGGACGATATCTTTGACTTACAACTCTTCGGGGTTGCCCGTGGCCATGAGTTGGCGCTGACTCTTCAATGGCTCTACGACCAGACCGAAAATACCAAAGATCGCAAAATGATTTGGGAGGTAATGGAATTGATGTGGCAAGGATCTCGAGTCATGGAAAGAGATTGGACCATTTTCTTTGGGGAAGACTTTCCACAAGAGCCGTCTGTCAGATATAAGTCTCTCAATTTCAAGCACGGTGTCAATGTTGCCCAAGGTTAGTCTCTATAATGGGTATGCACGCTAATATTGACATCACATATAAAGGACTTCGTTATCCAGCGCATCTGTATCGAATGCACCCATATCCTGAGCTGGCGAACTTGTCCAGAGATGCTGTTCGCAAGACCTTCAAGTATCACGGAACTCCCGCCGGATCAGTCAGTAGCGATGAGTACATTGGTGGCCTCTCTCCTCAACAAGGCTCTGAGCTTTGTTGCTCCGTCGAGCTTATGTTCTCGCTGTCATTCCTTTACCAACTCTTCGGGGACAATAACTTGGCCGACCGCGTGGAACTAGCAGCATTCAACGCCATTCCAGCTGCAATTAGTGCGGATTGGTGGAGCCATCAATACATCACTCAGGTCAACCAACCGTGGGCCTGCGAATTGGAACTTGCCAAAGACGAAAAGACGCCATTTTACGATGTCTGCCGATACGCCAATGTTTTTGGGCTAGAACCAGAATTTGTCAGTAGTCCATCTAGACATCATGGGTTCTTTTACTAACCGGATATGAAAGCCATGCTGCACCGTCAATCATCCTACCGCATATCCCAAGATGTTGATGAACGCATTTCTCCGAGGTCAGACAAGCAACGGCATGCCTTCCGTGGTGCATGCTCATCTCATTCCTTCTCGGCTGGACATCGAGGGTATAAGCATTAACTGCGAGTCGAACTACCCTTTTGCTCCCTGCGCATTGCGTTATTCTATCCATGCGCGAGAGGCGTTCGAGTTCCTCATCCGTGTGCCATATTGGTCATCGAGCTCCTCGACCATAGAACTATGTGAAAGCGGGTCACAGTCTCGAGGAAAAACGCAACCTTTCGGCTCGACTGCGAGAAACGGAGATCCAGAATCCTTTCACCGTCTGCAGATTTCTTCTGGAGGAAAAGTCGACATTTTTGTCACGCTGAATGCGGAAGTGAGGGTAAACGAACACGACGACAAGTCCGTTAGTGTTTACTATGGCCCCTTGCTCTATGCTTACGAGGTCGACCACAAGACGAATACGAGACTGCCACGGAATTACAAAGACCAAACCTCCGACTGTACGGAAGTCGCAACTGTCAACGACCAGGGCAAGGAGCCCTGGATAAATGCGTGTCGTGATCACGACTATCTCCCCAATTCTCGTTGGAACATCGGAATTGACCCTAGCAAGGGCGTCAATGTAGTCGTGAAAAGAGACCCTTGGGTGGAAGGAAGTCAGAGACTCGTGGCTGCTCTTCCGAACCCGGTTTGGGCTTCAGGCATTTCGCCTGTACATCTCGAGGTCGAAGCTGCTTGGGTGGATTGGCCAATTCAGAATGGAACAGCAGCAGACCCCAGTGCAGTCGATACAACTTCGCATGGGGAGATTTTCGTGGCCCGCTTGGTCCCATACGGCACCGCAAAGCTACACATAGCACAATTCCCTGTACTGAGAACCGAGAAAACTTGACTGCACGTCAGAGTTAGGGGGCCGCGCTGAAGACCTGGGATTGGATCGCATCCGGCGCTTAGCATGCCCGCGCCCATTGCCTCGACTTGTTGATGTACCTCAGTGAAGTGTTAAGTTTCATGATTGACATAATTTATCTTACTTACTCTGATACCTGGTTTCAACAAGGCGTGTTTTGTGCTGTTACTCCCCACTTCTTCATGTCTTTTCTATATTATAGCTTTTACAAGACACAATTGGTATCAATGCGAGCCATTGATCAGATTTTCTACATCGGGCCGAGTCTCAGCTTTTTTCTGGAAAGTTGATCAAGATTAAGCCAAACTGTAACCCATTTCTTCATTTTGTGGCATGGGAGTGAGTTACATGAAGAGGACGGCTATTGCTCATGTCACCAGAAGCTCATCATGTTCTTTCGTCGTCGGCCGACTGACAGCTCAATTCTGATTATCGTTCTCAACATAAATGTTTCTCTCGCTATACTAAGTTTGAACAGTGTCGAAATCGGAGCAAGAATCCAGATCCTCCATACTCCGGTGCCTACAGGTCGACTTCCCAGGCCTCTAAACCCCAAGAAGGATGACCAAGTCGGTTTGGGCTGTGTTTCATTGGCTGGTTTTCAGGTCTCAAGAGAAAGGCCAAGCTTGGCTACTTGATTCAAGCCCCTGTCTGTGCCGGCAAGGGCGGAAGTGAGGTCGTCTTGGTAGTCTTAGCGGTTCCATTCGTCTGATACGTACTATCAGGGTTGATCTTGATTTGTCCTGTAGCAATATCGAAACGGTTGCTGGTTCTGTTGAAGATCTGGAAGGCAGCAGCTGGTTGGAAATCTGCTTGAAGTTAGCGTTTCCCAAACTGAGACCGCCAGCTACTTCCAAACGACTGAAGCACTGAAATAGGACTACTTACATGGAATCTCATGCCCAGCATTCCAAACACGAGTGAAACTAAGTTTCCCATACTGTCTAGTTTCGCCATAAGCTTCACCGTTCACCATCAAGCTGGTGTAGCCTGCGTCGCGAAACTTCTCGGCCCCAGACCAGTTGGCCGTGAGTGAGAGCGCCTCACCGCCCAGCCAGTTGCAAATGTAGTCAGCATCTCCGTAGACCAACGATACCTGGACATCAAGTTCAAGAAGCTTCTCAACATCCGGAAGATATCCGACCGCAAAATCGCCCGAAAGGGTGTAAGCAGTATAGAGCAGATTACTTGATGTGTAGTTGAGATCAACGCCAAGCGCGTTTTGTGCTTGAGCGGTGTTCAGCCAGGGCTGGTCTCTCAAGTCAGCGTTGATACAAGATTGGCTGGGACATCTAGATATCACGACTTACGCGCCAGTTGTCAGGTGGGACATCTTTTCCAGATGGGAATCGCTGAAAAGGGTAAGCGCAAGCATTCACAGGAAGCAACGAAATTACTGACAATATCATAGGTCCCTCGGCCTTCCAGATTGAAAGTGTAGTACATGCCCTCGACATCGGATTGGCAAATGAATTGTGCGGCAGAACATGCCGACCGTCTAACGATTGAGTCGCGTTCAAGATAGTCACAGTAGTCAAGCTTCTCTTGGCAGCCGCCAGGGCGATCTCGGTTCCACTTGCCGTATTCATATATTGTGTCGTTGATGAGATCGACGCCATAGCCATTGTTTTCGCCTCGAGTGAAGTCAAGCAAGTATTTGGTCTGCACGTGCTCATCAACGATTCCATTTACAATGCCGAGACTCTTCAAGTTGAGCTTGCGCCCGACCGGGGTGCTTTGCTCAAGCTCAGAGTTGCGCTCGTTGAACAAGGTGTAAAATGCCGGGCCCCAATGCCCTCCGAATGACTCTGTCTCAGGGTTAACTAAGGAGTTTTTACTTTACAACTCGCAGGAACACTTACCAGCCCAGAGATGAAAATCAATTGAGGAGATGTTAGAGGAGCTCAATTGTGGCAAAGCGTCATAGAACCCTTGGACCACTTCCCAGCAAGTGATAGCAGCCAGACGACTGGTATCTTCTTTGGTAGGGTCTATGACTGACCAGCGGCCTTCGCGCTCATCGGAGGTCTCTGGCTCCTTGTCTACCAGAAGGTAGGTAGGATCGAGAAAGCCCACCGCTTTCTCGCTGTAGGAGAACCCTGCTCGTCTTAGATCGTGGACCTTAGCTGAAACTTCGTATGAGCTTACCTGTTCCAACTGGTTGTGAGAGAAACAGAACGTTCGATATCTCATTCCAAGCGTAATCTCGAAGAACAGTAGTCATGTTTTCCACCACCTCGCAAGGCCCAATCTCCTCAAAAAGACCAATCAAGGAATCAGAGCCAGGGCCGCCATTGAGCCAGAGTGTCACCTTCAGAAGAGATGGTCATTATTGCGCTTATCAATGTCATCGGACTAAGCAAATGACTCACTGGATCTCTCGCAGGATCTCTACGCGACTCGAAGAACCAGAAGAAAACATGCACGTCTGGGTCGATATCGATGTATCCACTATAAGAGTTGACTCCGGGGGTAGTCTCACAAATGCCATCTTTACCGGGCTGCTTGTAGCGTATCTGTGAGCCTCCCGGACTAGTGATGGCTGTCACGCCTTCTGCAGCACCGGGTGCTTGTCTCGGAGGCAATACACCGGCGATGACGGGCGCCGCCATCGCTACGAAAAGAAATACCAGTAATCTTTGAAGCATCATATTGCTAACAAGTTAAATAACTAGATAGGCTTCAGCATCAACGGCTTATGCATTGTGGATTTCCGTGATATTTAACTTCCTGCTTAGTACGGTTCAGGTCGATTAACTAAGTAGGAAGCTCGATAATGCAACACCCAGAGCCCGTGAACCTACATGTACCTCCCACAACTTGGACTTCGCCTCGTATTCCCTCTATCATGGCAGACAAGTAGTCTCGGCGTACCCTGACATCGCAACCATCCCACTGCAACGCCAAAATCAGAAGCTGCTTCAATCGGGCATTAGATGATCGCAATGCTTGCCCATCAACTCGTCAGGTAGATTGAGTAGTGGTGACGGCGAAGCGGGGAAGGTTGACTTTATTCCAACGGCAAATATCCGCACCAATCGGACAGTTTGCTAAGGAGATGCAAATCGGATTTATTCCATCACCGCAAATGTTTCAGGGCAGCCTTCATCAAGACAGTGATTATCCCCGAAGATCATTTCGCTATCCTACGTTACTCCGGGCAGTTCTCCGATCTCTAATGCTTATCTCTCGGATGACCCGAACTTGCATGATACCCCTGTCATAATCCCGGAATCGTCCAAATTTTGGGACCATTCTCAAGAAACGATGTCCACAACCAAGACGGACGTTTGACATCACCCTGTCGAGCGTCATCAGTGCAAGTGAAGAAGTTGCAAGCAGGAATGCTTCTAGGTCGATAACGAGCCCTATTGAAACTGGTTATTGCTTCACTAATATCACTCCTAGCCACAGCCTGGAGACCAGTTTTTAAGACTACTCTGATCAATGAGCTGGGCCAACAGCAATAGCAGGGACGAATCCATCAGATTCATCACGGCCTCAGCTTATTGATTGAGATCAAATGAACTCTGAACGGTGAGATGCATATAGCTTCCGATTAAGTCTCGGCGTCAAAGGCTAGTCCGAACAGAATCCCACCAACTACATGCTGTTCTCGATGGCTTAGAAAGACCAAATGATTTGAAACCTCGCCACCTTGCCATTGAACTCGATCCCATGCCATATTTGTAAAGATGCGGTGGGTGCTAAAATGGTTGAGGATCGCACCTCAGTGGCTTTCAGTCGCCAACTTAGCCGTGTCATGAGACTTGGAAAGCTCCGCCTCCGGAGACGAGGCCCTCATCAGAAGTGAAGAGCAGACAGGCAATGCTTCTGCGGCACCTAGGTGAGGAATCTTGACTTCTATTCGGAAATTGGGAGCGGGAGCGTTTTGAGTCTTGAAGTCAATAATATAACAGGTGAAACATACGACATACCTCGTTATAATAGCACAAATTGCGTTGATTGGCACCAAGGTGACAGGCCTCAAGATGAGTATTATTATTTCTTGGGCTACGGAATAGCAAGACCAATCTTTCCATATCGCTTGATCTCTCGATCATGGCCGGTTGCAGGTACCAAGTCTTCCTGCCAAGTGGGTATTGTCGCGACAGCCTCGGTCAATGTGGAAATGACTACCAATCCGGAGATTGTGTCGAAGGCGATATCACCATCAATGAAACTGTGGCGTCCAGACCGACAATTTCGAAATACCGCTCGTCAGACGGGCACTGTGGAGGCAGAGATACATAGTGCGGCGCCGGCGGCCGATCCAGAAGCTGCCGTGATGGCAATAGGTCTGGCAAGATTTATCCTAGATCAGAGATCTAGCTCGGCGCCGTACATGCTTCCCCTTCGTGCCGGCTTCCCTCGTGGTCTGCATAGCCCTGGCCATCCACATCCTCACCACCTTACTGTGTTAAGATCGATCTGTGGACCCCATAACTCTCCAACGTCACACGTCTCCTTTAATCATCGTTCTGTGATAGCGTCACCGAATTCCACTGTCCCCGATCTCTCTTTACCCTTCACTGCCGTTTCACTCTCGTTGCGACCCAAATACGTTTCATGTCCCCTTCATTTCGCCTCATTCTAGTTCGCTTTCGCCGCGCCTCTGCTTGAATTATGGTCTCATCAGGCCGCTGATTCGCTCAGGCTGTGCTATTGGACGATCCGAACTTGGCATGGTCATTTTTCCTTGTCTTCGAAGCCTATTCGTCCTCTTTCTTTCAGAGATCATGTTTTATCAGTGAGGATGTGATCTCTTCTTGCCCAGCTGATTTCGCTTTTTCTTATTGTTTGGGTACAAACCTGAATTGACTCTCTACCACACCGCCGATGGAAGCCTTTCCAGCTGGAATCTACTATTCGGGCCACAAAGAGCCTGTCCACGGAAGTGAGGCTGTCTGATACAAGTGATTTCACCGAATGACAGAAATGGAGATTCTTGGAAATTATGAATGATCAAATGATCAAACGACTCCGACGGTCCTGGAGGGCACAAAGAGCTCGGACATGTTGTTCGATTTCAAAGAAGCGGTTCGTGGAACCGCCAGTTGCTTTGTTTGCCTGCCAATTACCAACTATTTAAAAAGGCAGCATGCAATCAGTAGGTGGTTTTCACTAATACTATCTTCTCCATCGTTTCTTTTACATACCACATTCAACACGAAATATTTATATTTAGTAGGCAGAAAACGTGCCTAGCCAACACGTTCATTCGAAAATCCTTGAGATCAAGTACTCAAACATATCCACGGAGTGCAGTAAATTGGGTCTGTTAATTCCACGATGGCGGAGTCAACGGAGCAAGCGAAGCTATATCTCCTTCCCGGTGACTAATCAGGCCATGCCTCCATTTGAATCGCCTCAGCCTCTTACTTACAATTGTCTTCTAGACCAGGTTAGAGCGCTGGCCCTTACATGCTTGGATATTTTAGAAAAAGGTTTCCTTCGTGACGCTGCCATCGCGGGTTCCACAACTTTTCTTAAAGACGGGGGTGTTTCTTTCAAAATTGGAGAGAACATGGAAGACAGGGACTTTCAGGCAGAGAACTGCAGGGAGCTTGTGATTGCTGTGCTAGGTTACATGGCCTACCGGGAGGTGGAGTGGCAGCAGCGAAGGCAGCGGCAGCGGGAGGAGCAGCAGGAACATGACATCCGTGTGCTATCGCCTTTGAGATTGAACGCCATTCTCCTGGAGGACAATACGAAGAATTACGCCGCGTTGAGAAGGAAATTCTCAGACAGAGCGCCTATTCCTGAGACGGGTATGTCGTCCATTTGGCCAAATATTTGTACCGAAGAGACTATACTTTGGCATAGCACACATCAATATGATGGGTCCGTGAACGAACTACGGGTGGTGGTGCCCGCCTCGGTGTGCCGTCGACGGCAGGAGCGCTTGCGCTAGCAGCCATGGAGCCGGAGGCAGTCTGTGGATTTTAGACGCAGCAGAGCGAGATAGAATTTGAAATGGGTCTTGATATACCGGTCTATCAGATTGCTCACGTTCCAACTTCTGTTCTCATTCACTCATTGATGATCTCCTGCCTATGTACGTCTGAAGAAGTAGTCAAAGATGAGGAAGTCAGACACGGATAGAGCTAGTGGCTTCCACGCCGACTTATTGAAGGCATAGACCTTTACACTGTTCGGCGATGTCAATTGGTAACTAACTGTCTTTTGAAAGCATGATATAGATACTCCATGGTCGCTCTTAGATCTCTGGGATGGCCAGATTCGGCCAGGTAGTGAGGTCAAGTAGATTAAACTTACTTTTTCTAGTTCACTGCGAGCAGATTGGAGGACTTCGAACCCAGATCAGGACGCGACTCTTTATCTGAAGACTGAATAATAAAACCAATGTGCAATTTGAACAACCAACAGCCGGTGGGCTCATCCACAGAATAGTTGCGCGCAAACCACCTGAGTTCACTGAGGTGTGTATTCCCTCATGTCGTCTGCTCGGCGATCAGGCTTCAGTACATCCGTCTCCAGTCCTAGATTTCCGCTCTATCTCGAAACTTTCAAAAGGCACGTAGAATGGAAGTAGGGTCGGACTGATATACAATTCGTTATTAACCCCTGTGAAAATGAATACTCAAGTATGCATTGACGCTATCAAGCAGTCTTAAAGGTTGTAGGATCTTCTGTTTTCATGCCGTGCATCAGAGTTGCGGTTGAAGAATGAACAGACCAGTAGCATTGCGACCGGGGTCAAAAGCAGCGATAACGGTGTACCCACATCGACACCCCCGCTGTCCTCAGTGCTATCTCGCCGTGCTTGGCTGCGGCTTGCGACGGGTTCCATGCACCCCGCATGGAACCAACAGCAAAGAAACAATGCTCGAATGGGAATTTGGAGATAGCCATAATCTAGGATTCCCTTGCTAAGCGAGCCAGTCATGCCCTCAGTCTTATCAGCCACTTTGAACTACTTCGCTTTCGGACGTGGACTGCCGGGAATACGGTGAACTAATAGTTGCTGCTGGCAGCGGTAGACTGAAACCCCGCACCCTGATTGTTGAAGGTTCGGACTGCCCTTCCGATATCTCTAGTATTCTGGCTTCTGTGTGAGACGTCACTCGGATACCTTATCCACCGTACACCACAACTCACACTGCCCTACGCTGCCAGTCTCTGGAAGTGCTTCCGAGTTTTGAGCCACATTGGGTAAATCAGTTCTCATAGCCCTGGAAATGGAGTCTTCTAACACTCAACGACGTATCACGAAACGGTCATCTTATGCGTGCGTTGCATCAAGTCCCTCTCACTACTTATGAGGCACAGCCTTACTGATAGGCCATCAACAGCTGCTCGCGATGTCGGAGGCAAAAGATCAAGTGCTCAGGCCTCCACCCGTGCAACAATTGCACGCAGAGGCGGCTGACATGTATCTTTGATGAGCGGGATAACAAGGTTATGGTAACGCAGGGGTGAGTAGTGACTCTTATGACTGTTGACACAAACTCTCGAGTGAGTAGCACTTTGCTGACATAGTAATCCTCTTACTACAGATACCTGTCCGAGCTGCAACAAAAGGTGGCCCGTTTGGAGCGCGCACAAGCAAGAGCATTAGTGGAAGAAAGCTTGAGGCACGCCGATGGCGATGATGGTGCCGTCGCGTGTCGTGAAGGTACGATCTCCTCGGCTTATGGTGAGTTGGGTTCATGCTCATTCAGTTGGACTAGATGATCCAAACAACCCATCACGCTTCGATGAACGTAGACGAAGTTACCATACGCCAGACGAGACAGGTGGAATCTCACCACCTGGCGATGGAGACGGACCAGACTTGACGAACCCTCTTACTGCCACGCCATCCCGATTCTGCATGTCTGAATCCAACGGACAACCCTGTGAGTTCTTTATTCTGGAAAGTGCACCTCACAACACGCAACTCATTCAAGCCTAGACTTCCTTGGCTCCTCATCAAACTGGTCTTTCTCTCGCCAGGTCTTAAGCGTCACACACGAACACGTCTGCCAGTCCCCCCTGCCGACAAACAGCCTCCTCTTCGACGGTTTCGCCTACGACCTCGGCTGGGACGGCTCCAGAACGACGCAGATGCTGGACAACAGACTCATACCGAGTCACGACTACGCCATCTTCCTCATCAACGCGGTCAAGTTCCACTGTGGGCAAATGTTCCACCTCTTTGAGGAAGAAGAATTCATGTTCCACATGCAGACGTTTTACGCCAAATCCTCGACTGATCGGGCGGAGGAGAACAGCCTATGGTATATACACTTCCTCGTGATCCTGGCTTTTGGTAAGAGCCTCATCCAGAGAAAGACGCAGGGGAACAACAGGCCGGCGGGGGCGGACTTCTTCGTGCGAGCGCTGCAGCTTCTTCCTGATGTGACGGCGCTGTGCAAGGAGCCTATCATGTCGACGGAGATTCTGTGCTCGATGGCGTGGTATTATCAAGCGCTGGACTTTCGACACGCTGCGCACAACTTTGTAAGTCCGGTGTCAGGACGGGACCTTCGGTTGATATCGCATTCGAGACTAATCAGAGTCGGACAGATCGGGCAAGCCAAAAGCGTGGCGATGAACCACGGGATGCACACGGACATGCCAGTAATGGACTTAGGTCCGGGCTTAGTTCAACGATGTCGCAAGATCTGGTGGACGGTCTACGTTCTCGACCGGCAGATGACCTCCCTGATGGGGTTGCCCCAGTCGACCCTGGACGAGGGCGTCTTTTGCCAGCTCCCGTCCTATCCTGGTTCCCTTCACCGCACCACCGCACTGAGCATGCAGATCAAGTTTGCTCGAATCATCGCAGAAATCAGCAGCAGTATGGCCAAATCCTTGTTACCGTACTCTTCATCGCTTGACGTTCTACGTGCTGACTTCCTGCCTTCCCTTATCTAGCCGTCTACGGCGCGAAAGGCCGCCTCAACAAGAAATTCGTCCTAAGTACGAAGGCGGTGCTGCAAAGCATCGTTGCTGTGGCCGACGAGCTGCGTACTTCATTTCCGTTATTTGCAGATGAGCGTTTCGACGGCATTTCGAGACTTTCTGCCCACTTGCATCTCCTTTACTACCAGGTGAGCAATTTTGTGTCGGCAATTTTGAGTTTTGAGTTTTGTGCTAATTTTATGGTTAAGTGCATCATCCTCGCGACACGACCTCTTCTTTTATGCTGTCTGATCAAGAGATTCAACTCTCCGCTCGAGGCGGACTCGTTGATGGCATCGCCAAAAGTTCGGAACCCGCTTCAGATGTGTGCGGAGTCTGGCATCCAGATTTTAAACATCCTCGACCGCCTGAGAGCGCAGGGACTTCTTGGTCAGTATTAACAGCCTGCCCCAATCGATTAACAACTCTAATGCAACGTACAGAAACATTCCTCCCGCTAGATCTAGACTCTCTCTTCGTATCAACAGTCGCCCTACTCGTCGCCCGTGGTGTCGACTCGCGCCTTATAGAGAGCCAAGTTCCCTGGCTCGATAAGTCGCACGCCATTGTCGAAGAAATGGTAGTCAGCGGCAACCTCATCGCCGAGTTCAGGAAGAACGAGATGCAGAAATTGGAGGAAATGCTTCTCGAGTTCGACGTTACTCGGCCGCGGCTATTGGCCGACTCAACGACTGTTATCGCACAGCAGCAGCAACAGCCAATACCACAACCAGACTGGCAACAACAGACAGACGCACCAACCACTCTCCCACCGGCCCCTCTGCCGGCGGAGACGAGATTGCCACTGGGTCAAGAGACAATGCTGCCGGTGTACAGAGAGTTGAGCAAAGACAGCAGCAGTCAGGCGGAGGACCTAACGACGCAGCAAATTATAGACGTCGTTAACTCAATGGAGTGGGAAGACAATGAGTGGATGTCATTCACAATGGTCCAGGATGAAGCATGAAGCTGTGGGCCTCTATGGGAATTGTCGTTTGTAAGAAGAATACACCCTTAATTCATTCCCTTTAAAAGTTAATTTTTATCTTCTGAGTCGATTAATATCGGCAACACCGACTTCGGTATCGTGAAACATCCCACATAGACCATTGAACCTTATATCTTGATAATCAACCAAGTTGAACGTAGCAGGACTTTTACAACAGCAACTCTGCGTTGACAGTTTGCATTCTTCCTCTATAGGCAATTCGCGACCGCGGCGACAAGTCATCAAATAATCAACAGAACTAACCCCCGGACTGTTTAGTGGAGCTACGTTGCAACCAACATCCTCGCGACGGATCGACCAAAACAGCCGTACAGTACGCAACTCGGGTTCGGTCCCGATCTAAACTCGCTACCCCAGCAATGAACTATTAATTGCAATTCAAAAGGGGACGTTAAGGCTCCACGAATAGAAAGAGAGAGATGGAAGACAAGCACTAACATACGGAGTATTACCCTCAACCACATTCCCGTATCCGCACCCGCAAAGTAAAGACTAGCCGCCCCGCTAACGTACATGGACATTTACATCCGGCAACCCCTCCATCTCGCCAGATTGCAGAGAACAGCAACCGGACCTGTCGATCATTGGGTCATAGCCGACAAGGCGCGCAAGGTCAGACGATGCGACCGAATGTTAGAGCGCCCTGGCTCGTATCAATGGTTCCCGAGCTTCTACAATGGGTGACGGGCTCCAGATCGCATGAAACCATGGGGAAATTAGCGGTCCATGACGCAGATCAGTACAGAAATGCTACCTCGCTGATGATGGAGGCATTTCTTGGTGCCCACACGGAGTACGCAGTGATAAATAGAATGCGCCTCCCGCCTTGGCTAGAACAAGCATCAGCCATCGTTGTGATCGATCAAGTCGAAACGGTCAGCCACATCATTCACGATGTTTCGGACACAACTCCTCCCAGCCCTCACGCTGGCGCTGACATCCCTCGTCAACGCCCAATCCAGCGATGACCTCGGCGTAGCAAACGGCTTCCTCGACTTTAAGGCTGGCCAATTCACCGGCCAGCTCGTCAAGGACTCTCAAACCCTCGCCTCCCTCAAGCCTGGAACCGACTTCGACTTCCTCCCCTCGGACCTCCTCGCCAACCTCACCTTCAACTACGCCCACCACATCGGCGACGTCACCTTCCGCTTCAAGCTCGACGGCGCCGGCAACTGGACGTCCGTGGACTCCGCCCGCGCCAGAAAACCCGTCAAAGCCCTCGCGGACCTCGCCCCGGGTGTGATTGCCGGTGCAGACCTCGCCGCGACGCTGCCCGCAGGCGTGCCCTTGACCGTCACGCGCGAGTGGCTCCCCGCCGGGGACGGCCTCGCTCTAAGAGTCAACTTCACCAACACCGCCAACGGCACCGTCGAGCTCGGCGCCCTGGGTCTGCCTCTCGCCATCAACAACATCTTTTCGCGCCCGTCGGCCGAGGAGACGCAGGCAAAGTGCTCCCTCGCGGACCCGTACATCGGTCTCGATGCGGGCTACGTCCGCGTCTCCCCCGTAAAGGGCCTCGGCAACGCCCTTGTCGTCGCGCCGCTGGGCTCGAGTCCGTTCGAGGCGTGGAGACTTCTTGGGGAGCCGCAGGGTGATTACTACTACCAGTCGCAGACCTACGAAGGTACTTATGAGTGGATGATTCACTCCCAGGCGTGGGCGGAGACCGAATGGAAGAGCGCGACGCCCTGGAACACGCCCACCTCGAAGACGCTCAAGGCCGGGGAAACATACTCTGTCGGACTCAAGTTCGTCGCCGCGGAGAGTATCCAGACCATCGAGGCCGCCGTCACAAAGGCGGAGATCCCCCTTGCTGTTGGTATCCCGGGCTACGTCGTGCCCACCGATCTCACAGCCAGGCTGTACCTCACGCACTCGTCCCCAGTTAAGACCATTGACGGCTCAGCCTTCACAATCAAGCAGGACACTGCAGCAAAGGGCTCACCTTACCTCCTCACGCCGACCGCCGGCGCCTGGGGCCGCGCAAAGGTAACAATCACCTACGAGGACGGCAAGACGCAGGTGGTGCAGTACTACATCACCAAGCCCGCGCCGGAGACGGTCTCGGACCTGGGCCACTTCCTCACCACCGCCGCGCACTTCACCGACGCCTCGGACCCCTTTGGCCGCGCGCCGTCCATCATGGGCTACGATAAAGAAGCAAAGGCCATTGTAACTCAAGACGAGCGTGTCTGGATCGCTGGTCTAAGTGACGAGGGCGGCACGGGCGCCTACGTCGCCGCCGCCACGAAACTCTTCGTCCAGCCCGTCGAGGCCGAGGTCGCGGTCCTGGATGACTTCATCCACGACACCATCGTCGGCACGATCCAGCCGGCCAACGACACTTTCGCCGTGCGCGCGAGTACCTTCTTCTACCAGCCCGACGCCGTGAACTACACCTACGACGCCTCCCGCGACTGGACCTCCTGGGCGTCGTGGACTAAAGAGAGGGCATACACCACCGTGCGGGCGTATAACTACGTCCATCCCGTAGTGGCGTACTGGTCCATGTACCGCGTGGCGAGGGACTACCCGCAAGTCAAGACCCGCGCCGACTGGACCTGGTACCTGACACAGGCGTACAACACGGTGACGCACTGCATGAAGAACGGCGCGGCGGACTGCGACTATGGGTTGACTGGGTTGATGGGCGAGACGGTGTTTGCGGAGCTTCTCGAGGATCTGAAGAGGGAGAATATGACGCAAGAGGCTACTAACTTTGAGGCCAATATGCGATTCCGCGCCGAGTTCTGGGAGACGTTGGCCGTTCCCTTTGGAAGCGAGATGGCGTGGGATAGTACCGGCCAGGAAGGCGTCTATTACTGGACCGAGTAAGCTGTGCTCCTTTCAAGCCAGATCACCAAGCTCTTGACAAGCAATAGCTAACATGAAGCAACAGATACTTTGGCCACAACAGCACCGCCATCAAAGCAATCAACAGCATCAGAGCCTACATGCCCACCGTAGCCCACTGGGGCTGGAACGGCAACGCCCGCCGGTACTGGGACTTCCTCTATGGTGCCAAGAACCAGGGCATCGAGCGCCAGCTCCACCACTACGGCTCCGGCCTCAACTCGCTCCCGATGCTACACCACTTCGAACGCAATCCGTCCGACGTTGACGCCCTCCGCGTCGCGTTCGCCGGCAACACGGCGCCCCTGACGAACATTGATGCCGAGGGCTGCCCCTCGGCGGCGTTCCACTCGTTCCCGGAGCATCTGGCCTGGGACCCGTACACCGGCGACTACGGCCTCGGGTTCCTGGGTCTGGGTCTCGGTCAGGGTGTGTACATCGTTAACCACGCGACGTACGGCGAGGTCGTGTTTGGCGGCAACGTTGTTTCGTCGACTGAGACTTCTGTGGTTGCTGAGCCGAGGGACGCGGTGCGGCGACGGGTGTTTGTTGCGGATTTGGGATTGAAGGTTGCTCTTAGCGCCGGTGCTATTCAGACTGTTACCTATGATCGCGAAGGCCAGACGGTGAAGTTGAGTGTTGGTGCTGCGGCGTCTGAGAAGGCGCTCAAGGCTAACTCGACGGTTGTCTGGCTTGAGACGACGTCGGGCGATGCCAAGTTTACGGTGTCTGGAGCGAGCGTGGCGAGAGGAGGATATCTCATTGACTTGTCTGGCGGACAGGCTGAGGTCACCATTTCCAAGGCGTGAGATGGTGGTTTGATTATACTTTGAGTTCTAGTACATATTTAGATCTTGGCACACGGGGCTTCCCAGCCTTGTGAATTCTATTCTAGTTTAGGTGTCAATCAACTTATATGGGTAAACACTGTTGCCAGGCATTATGTATTCCCGTGGGCTCTTCAAGACCAACCTGAGCAGAACAAGGACCTCCACAAAACCACAAGGCAAGGTCAGAGTCTGGTCCGACGATTACAACCTGGAACCCGGTTCAGTCATTCAAGTATGGGCAAGTCAACTCAAACATCAGACGGCGACAACTTCAGACGAACCAAGTAAACCCAACTTAACTAAGAGAACAACTAAGAGAGGTGAACGCCAAGAAACAATGTTCCACTTCTCCAGATTACCCCACAAACTTAGCTGCAAGACGACTCCTTCAAACCCCGCACTCTTCTCCTCCGTCTCTTCCCATTGATCCTCTTCTTCTTCTTCCCTTTCCTCTTGTTCTCTTCTCTTCTCTTGATTTGCTCCTTGATTATTACCGGAGGCTCCCCTGCTTCTATCTGCCAAGCGATCGACTCCCACCCCATCTTCCCCCCTGCTCACGATCCAAAGGTACCGCGACTCGTGTTCGGCTGCAGAGCTGCAGAAAGTTCCCCAAACCTAACCACTCATCATTGACCCGAAGTCACCGAACCCCATGGGGCCGGAGGAAATACCACATCACCTCGTGCCCGCCACTTCCACCAAGAAACCCGGGCCCGAGATGACAATGACACCAAGTCTAGAGGGATCTTGCGGGGACTCTCTACTTAGGCTAATTCGAGGCATTGACATCACTTGAAGCCCCGGTACCTGGGTCAGGGGAGAAACGACATCAACACGCTTGCCTCGGGGTAGCAATGCCGCGATACACTACCCCAAAAGCCCATGAAGCTGCACAACATATCACGAACCAGCCGAATAAACTCACCTCTTTTTCCGCCTCACGTCTAGGTTTCGAGACTAGGCAAGGTGCCAGACCGCACCACATCCGTCCACAATGGTCTCCTCCTCATCGTCCTCTCTCCTCCTAGGCCTCGCCCTTCTCTTCACAAACACAGCAGCCCAATCCTGCTGGCGCAACGCAACCTGCACCCACCCAACAGAAGCATCCTTCCCGGGACCCTGGGACGCAAACATCTACGCCCCAGACTCCCGCACAGCCCGCCCAAAGTCCATCCTCTCCCTCGCGACAGGCGATCGTCTCGCCTCATTCCCGTCTCCCGAGTCCCAAACCCTCAGCGGCAATGGCTCCGCACTCGTCTTCGACTTTGGCGTCCTCGTCGGCGGCCTCACTTCGGTGAACTACACACTCTCCACCACCAGCACCGGCAACACCACCGAGCCCGTGACCCTCGGCCTCGCCTGGACGGAAGCAAAGAACTGGATCGGCGAGTACTCGGACAACTCCAATGGAAACTATCGCGGCCCGGGCCAGACCCTCATCTCCGTCGACGGCGCCCTCTTCCACCAAATCACCGTCCCCGGCCCGGGCTCCTACACCGTCCCCTTCCCCCAGCTCCGCGGCGGCTTCCGATACCTCACGCTCTACCTCATGACAAACACCACAACCACTCCGTCACAGACGCTCCTCACAATCAACGACGTCTCCCTGGAAATCGTCTTCCAACCAACCTGGTCGAACCTCCGCGCCTACCAAGGCTACTTCCACTCCTCCCACCCCCTCCTCAACAAAATCTGGTACTCGGGAGCCTACACCCTCCAAACCAACGCCGCACCGCCCGAAACGGGCCGCGTCCTCACAGAAGACATCACGTCCGGCGGCTGGTCCAACGACGCCTACCTCGGCGTAGGCTCCTCCCTCCTCCTCGACGGCGCCAAACGCGACCGCTGGATCTGGCCCGGCGACATGGGCGTCGCCGTCCCCTCCGCCTTTGTCAGCACCGGCGACCTCGAGTCCGCGCGCAACGCCATCCAGACGATGTTTGATTATCAGCGGGACTCGGGCATCTTCCCCCGCGCGGGACCGCCGTATCTGGACGCCACGAGCGATGCGTATCACATGTGGACCATGATTGGCGCGTACAACTACGTTCTGTTCTCTGGGGATACGGACTGGCTGGCGGCGAACTGGGCGACGTATCTCAAGGCGATGGACTACATCTATGGGAAGATCATACCCGAGACGGGGATTCTCAACGCTACGGCCGCGGGCGACTGGGCGCGCTACGTCAATTCGCTAAACGGGAGTGCGCCGAACATGCTCCTCTACCGCACCCTCACCACTGGCGCCTTTCTCGCGGACCTCGCTCCCGCCGGGAACACATCAAACCTCGCAGCACCAGCACCAGCACCAGACGCAGCAGGGACAAACCTCACAGAAACCTGGCTCGCCCGCGCAGACGCCCTCAAGAAAGCAATCTTCACCCACCTCTGGGACCCGACAAAGGGCGCCTTCATCGACGGCTACAAAAACCGCACCCTCTACCCCCAAGACGCAAACGCCTACGCCCTAGCCTTCGGCCTCGTCCCCGCCTCCAGCCCCGAAGCCGCCTCCATCTCCACGACCTTGACCCGAAACTGGACACCCATCGGCCCAGCCTCCCCCGAACTCCCGGGCAACATCTCCCCCTTCATCTCCAGCATCGAAATCGAAGCGCACTTTGCCGCAGGCCGCCCCGATCGCGCAATGCAGCTCATCCGCGACAGCTGGGGGTGGTACCTGAACCACCCCAACGGCACGGGATCGACCGTGATCGAGGGCTACCTCGTCGACGGCACGTTCGGGTACCGCAAGGGCAGGGGCTACACGGATGATCCGAGCTACGTGAGCCACGCGCACGGGTGGAGTTCCGGTCCGACGAGCGCGATGACGGAGTACCTCGTCGGGTTGCGCGTGACGGCGCCCGCGGGCCGGGAGTGGAGTCTGAAGCCGGCTTCGTTGGGCGGCGAGGCGGAGGGGTTACCGGCGGAGGCGGAGGCCGGGTTCACGACGGCGCTGGGAAGGTTCAGCGCCAAGTGGGTCGTTGAGGAGGGCAGTGGATTTGCGAGCGTGGAGTGGGATGTTCCTGAGGGTACGAGGGGATGGGTGCAGCTTGAGGCCGAGGAGGGACGGTGGGTTGAGGGCGGGAAAGGGAGCGCGAGAGTCGCGTGTGGGAAAGGGACGGAGGGCCGGGGGAGGAGACGCGCGGCCTCCGGGCCGTGATGGCGTGGACGCGGATTATGGTTCTACGTAATGTAGATAAACATTTCTTGACTGTGATGTGTGGAAGACTCTGACCTCTTGAGCAATGTGCGTGTGTGTGTGTTTTACCCCCGAGGACCCCGTTAAATTAAAATACGAGGTTTTTGCCCAAATACGAGGCCCGAACACTCCGCTCGTCGATAAGGAAACCCACTTGAACGGCTTTCCAACTATAGCTCCTAGACTCGAAGAAAAAGATAGTCTCTTGGTTTCCCCCGTTGCCTGGAAGGCTCACCCATCGGATACCCGGCGGTGATACCGTTCACCCCCAGGACTCCGCGGCTTTGTTGGCCACCGTTGGCTGTTCGGATACCGAGACATGCTTCACTAGCTCGCGAGCGCGCACATTGCGAGCTACTAGCCTCCAGGTCCTAAATGTCTGTGTGCAAATGTCAAGGGACCATTGGCCTTTTGACATCAGTCACACAGGCGTAGTCCAAGCGGGATTTGAGCTACTAGACCTTCGCGGGTACGCACGGGTTTTCTTCGAGAGAAAAAGAAATAACAGCACTGTAAGTGTATCTGAATGTCCCAAAGAAAGCTGCAGGTTGTACGTGCAATGAAAGTCCGTGATGGGCCAGCTTTATCATGAAGGAATTGCCATTTGGTTCGACTGCGTGTTTTCAAATCTAGAAAACGTCGGAGTCGAGAATCTGGAGGCCCCCCCCCCCCTGACAAGTAAACTTGACCCTGCGAGACCTTTTCTTCTACAAAGACCAGACGACGATCCTCTGGATTGACTTTCCTGACATGCGCCGAAAAGCCGCCACCACTGGGCAGAATGTGGCCAACGTTTCAAAACGGTCCGAAGCCTCTCGCAGCCCTAAACTCTCGTAAAAGTCGCCGCTAATGTGGCCGTCATTTGGGGGGAGGGGGGGGGGTACACAGCTGAGGGCCCGGATCCGACGGAAGTGACGTACGTCGCTAGTGATGAGTGATGTAAATTCGATTGCATGATGAGGAGCAATGTGAGAGAAAGTGAGTGTGTAGATCTAACTGTAGTAGGTTTTAATATTGGAAAGTCTGGGTATCTTTTCTGTTTTAATACCTTCAACGGTGTGGGAGAGTTGGAGGCTATTCAAGATTCTATGTTCCGTAAGAGCTGGATGAAATCGTCGTCTAGAATTACGACGTGGTTGCCGGATATCCAATATCTCTCTGTGTCCGCGCCGTGATATCCAAATAGTGCCATTCTCTAGATGAAGGGGAAAGCATGTCCATTTTCCCCCTCAGTAGTCCCCTTCATGAGCGTGGATATTCGTGTTCCACCGGCCAAGACCAGCACTTGCTCAAGGCCGTACCAAATCTGTTTGCCCGTGTCTCATGAAATCCCCGTTTCCTTCATTGCCCAAACACCAAGAACACCCCATACCCAAACCCAACAGAATAACTCCCAATGCAAAAAGGGTCAGCATCCAAGAAGACCATCACGGTCAGCTCGGCACCACCTGCGCCGTCTCAGGGTCACTATTCCCAATCCCAGCCCTCCTCTCCCTCCTCTCCACCTCCCTCGCCCTCCTCCTCGCCCTTCTCCGCCGCTGCTGCTCCGGCCCGCCCTCCTTACACGCGTCGACGCAGTGCATGGCCATGTACAGGAAATGCAGCACCGCGGCGATGAGCTGCAGCCACATGTACCACGGCGCCCACGTCTCCTTTTCGACACGCAGCGGATCCTCGCGCCAGGCGCGGTACTCGCGGTCCGGGCTCCCCGTGCGCCAGCCGTTGAGGATGATAAAGTAGAAGAAGGCGACGAGGCCGAGGACGAAGAGGACGAAATCGCCGACGACGATGGCGCCGGTGCGCATGCGGGGGATCTGGTGGGTTGAGTTTGCGAGGGTGACCATTTCGGCCATGGAGAAGATTATGCCTGAGACGGACTTTTTTTGGGAGGGGTGATTAGTATCCATCTAGTCTTACATGGTGAACAGAATGATGCATGTGAAGCTTACTGTGACGTATCCGAGCGGGAAGTGGAAGCCATATCTCGATAGCGTGATGAGAGCGGCGAGGACGCACACCTCAAAGACGACGAGGGTTAGGCGGAGGCAGAACTGGAGGATGCCGTAGAGGGCGGGGATACGCGGGCGCGTCATGCTGGGGGAGGGGTTGACGGCGGCGAGGGTATTTCGCCTCGATCGCGAGGTTGAGGTTGCGGGGGTGGCCTCTATCGTGGAATCATGCGCCGGGGGTTGACCAAAATGTTTGGCTTGATTGTGATTTTAAACTTGAGAGCTCAGCTCAGCCCCCCGAGTGCGGTGGCACAGCCGGCTTTCGTTCGGTCGGTCGGGATCGGGATTATCGTCGATGTCGAGAGTGGTGGAATCGCAACGGCGACGGCCTCGGCGGTTGGTAACGGCGGATGGGCCGGCCAAAGAATGAGATATTAGGTATCCTTGGATTTCCTTCGGGGGGCGGCGTCTAGGCGTCGATTTTCTTTGCGTAGATTGAAAGGATCAGGTGGTTTGCCGACACAAGGGCCTGCGACGATGGCCCGTTCGAGGGGAGAGAAAGAAGGCAAAGTCAAAGGTCAGAGGTTGGGAAGAAAGGAAGAAGAAAGAAGTCAGGAAATGGACAATATTGGGCGGAGGTTGGGAGAGCTGTCGTCGAGTTGATTCGTTTGGACTTTCTTTGGAGCTTTTTCTCGCATTCATACGCCCCAACCAACCACCATACAGAATGAATGCTCCCCTGGTGTGGCCCGCGGGGGGGGGGGGGGGTTGCTTGGCGGCGGTGGTTTTCTTGAAGATTTGAGCAAATGGAACACGAAGAAAGCGGGCGGGCGCAATCGCTACAGAAGGGCAGGTCGAACTACTGCGAGATTGTGGGTTTCCAGCCGTTGCTACCGTCCTTTTTCTAAAAGCTCTGCAGGATGATAGGAACAATGGAGTGTGGATGGGTGGGTGAGTGGTCGGGTTTCGAGGTAAGGTGAGGGTCGTAGGTATCCGGCCGGGATAAGCGGTGTAACCGATCCAGCAGGTTGTGTCTATGAAGAAATCCCAGGATTTCAACGGTGAGAAGAAGAGGAAGGGAAAGGGAAGAAGGAAAGAAACCACAGGCAGCTCTGACTGGACACGAGATTTGCGGGGGTTTGCTGAGGATTGGAATAGAATTGAGAAAAAAAGTAGAGAGGACGGGATGCAAATGGATGCCCGCCCGCCTTAATCCAGAATGGAAAGTCGAAAAGGAACAGCGCCAAGCATGTCCAGGCAAGGGTGGGCGCAATCCAGGATGGACAAACGCAATGGGTGGGTGGGAGAGAGAGGGAGAGAGACGCAAGCCCGAGGGGTTTGGGGATTTGCAGACACTCAGCTCAGAAAGAAAGAAAGGCACAGAGGTCAGATGAGGGCCCAGATCAGAATCCATTGACGATGTTTGGACGGACGGGGCACGGGAGGGAGAGGAATTGGACCAACAGTCAACTCTCTTCTCTCTCCCTAATTCGCCTCTTGGACTGTCCCTCATGCATCCATGCGTTCGCTGGTAGTGTTGTCCGTCTTTTCCATCTCACAGGCCCCAATGGCAGACACTACTACAACTCACAACACTCTACTGCGTAGTACAATGTCAACTGCGTCCTGCGCTGCTCGCCGGGTGGGCTGGGCTGTGCGGCGCGGCGCTGCATGAGAATGGGCAAAAAAAAAAAAAGACAAAATGGGGGGTTCCGGCCAATATGCATGCGACGGCGTGGTCGGGGCAGGTCCTTGGAGTACACAGTAAGGTCCATCCAGGAGAAACCCTTTTTTTCCCCCTTCTCATGGATGATGGCACTGTCCTTGAGCCTTGTATGAGCATAGTCTCGGGGGATTGCCAATATATAAGCATTGAATTCCATCAATGATCGTGTATCGCGCATAGTTTCCATGTCTAGACTCAACCTGACAGACAGACAGACGAAGAAACGTCAAGCTGCCAGAATTTAGAAAAAAGATAGTTTCAACGCCTAAAACGCCATCATTCCTCTTCCCTCTCCTCCCCCCCACCGACCCTCGCCTACGGCCGGTCTTTGGTTTCCCACCCCTTGGCGGAGTCGCGGGAAGATCCCGGATTGTCTCTCCCGCTATGAACTCCCCGATGGACCGTGGTAAATTACTCCGTAGTCCGTACCAGGCCCTGCTGCGAAGAGGCTAGCACGGTGCCGTAGGTAGTGTAGTGTGTACCCGTACCTTACCTAGTCTAACCCGTCGGTAGGGCTTTGTTAGGGGCCAAGACTCGTACGCCCGAGGCATTGACAACCCGTAGAGTAGCAATTTGGCCAATTGCTCAAGCGTTGAAAAGTGCTCAAAGCATTCGAAAAGCAGTAGTAACATAATCAGCTAGAACCTGCTGGCATACATACTATGTAGTAGACCAGATTCCATTAACAGCTGAAAATTGTTAGTGACGTTTGCTTGGCAAACGGTAACCGGCAAACGGACCGGACGGGGAGCTGGGGGGGGGGGGGGGGAGCATCCCATCGGACCAAGAAATGCCATTGCGTCATCCCATCAACTCACCCCAGCGTCGCAACGAAACGATGTCACAGGAAACACAAACGGTCTAGGTCAAAACGTGAAAAGGGAACGCATTTATCGACCCTTAATTCTTTCGTCAACGCACCTTGAGTTGACGACGTCTCTTATTGCCTCCAACTAAGCTCAATAAAAGCTTCGTGGGAAGATGTTGAAGGGGAGGACTGCAAAGAACTGTACATGAAATTGCACACCCAATATGATGATCAAAAAGCAGGGTCCTTCCATAAATAAATCAGTGGCGCACCCATCCAAGTTTCCTCCTAGCCAGCCCAGTTTCTGCTGCCCCCACATCGCCACCAGTGACCAACTTCACGGAGTACAAATTCACAGTACTGTGTACCTACCTAGCAGTAGCGTACTGATGGTACGGACACTCAAGATCAAGACCAAGAGTCTCCAACGGAGAGAAACTTTCGAAGAGTTACGCCTCTCCCGTCAAGAAAGCGGGCCAGCCAATTACTCCGTCAGAAAATGACCATCGGGTTATGAGATCAGATGGGGGGGCACACCATTGCGGCTCACGGCACGTTCCCTTTCTGTCTTTGCCAACCAGTAGAACCTAGTACTAGGTCCCAGTCCAGTCCAACCTCACAGAAACGTAACAGGAGTGGAAGAATGCGGCAGGCTAGAATGTCACTCGAACCCACAATGAGGCTCAAACGGCACCCGCCGCAGGAAACCTGGCCAGAGCCCGGCGCGCCTGGAAGATGAATCCGGTATATCAAGGCATCTCCACCAAGGGAAAACCAGAGTGCCAGAATACCAAGACGGTTTACACGGCACTCATGCGGCACTTGGCCCGGAAAATCACCCCCACAAGCCCTCTCTGCTCTGCCTGCCCTCACCTGCTCTGGACTCATTGAGCTCTAGCACTGACGTCAAATTCCCCGGTATTTCTGTATGCTTCTTTTTTTCCCGGGGTCGGGAGTGTGATGCTTGGTGATGTACTTTGACTGGAGAACTGCCGGCCGGTAGTGGGTTTTGACGTAGATGAGCAGACCGTTGCATGGAGACGTGGGCTTGAAAGGACGGTCGTCGCAAACAGGTTGACGGCGCTGTCGATGACTGACGTCGACGCGTTCCTTGGCCACGATGACGGACTTGTATGAAGACAGGAGAGCAACTCCAAGTATAAAGACAATTGCTTCGGAACGCTTCAAGGAGGCCTTTCCTCTCATCATCAAACACAACTAAACCCACAACTATAATCCCATCTGAGTATCACTCATCGATACCATACAAACTATCCTCCAAGACCTCACATCCTCAAATCAACAAAACCACACTCTTCAAGACCCTCCACCCCAAGAAATCAAAATGCACGGCGGAAGACACGAAAACTACGGCTCCAGCGGCATGGGCGGCGGCTACAACGACGGCCCTAGAGAAAACTACGGCGGCGGCATGAACAGCGGCATGGGAGGAGGCATGGGCGGCGGCGGTGGCTACGGAGGCGGCCGCGAGAACATGGGCGGCGGCGGTGGTATGAGCGGTGGCATGGACGGAGGCTACGGAGGCGGTGGCCGAGACAACTACGGTCCCTCCGGCGGCATGGGAGGTGGCCCGGGGCCCCGCGATAACTACAACGGCGGAGGCGGTATGGGTGGTGGTATGGGCGGTGGTGGCGGCTACGGCGGCGGCCGTGAAGAGTACGGCCATTCAGGTGGGCACTCTTCCCACGGACGTAAGTTTTATCCCCCCTTTTCCCAATTTCCCTCTACATGATACAGCAAAGCTGACACCATCACAGGCCGTAACAGCTACGACCGCCGCGATAGCTACGACCGCCACGACAACCACAGCAGCCACGGCAGCAGTCACGACAGCCACAACAGCAGCAGCGGTGGTAGCGGTGGAGGTCTCCTCGGCGGGTTCCTCGGCGGCGGAGGAAACGATAAGAAGGAGGAGAAGAAGAGCGAGGGGTTCACTGACAAGTTGATTGATGGTGCCGCTTCGTACGCCAAGAAGAAGTGGTAAACCCCGATAGAGCATCTTTGACAAAAAGTCTGAAAGATGAATGATGTAACGAATACCTCTTGTATTAGTAGTCCGGGCCTACACCATGGCCTGTAGTAATAATTCCATGATTATTCCAAATATTGCTAGATACTTGTCGTGGTTGGATGTTTTGCTTTACTTACGCGCAAGCGTTCGCATTGGCAAGAGCACCTTGAGTCTCTCCAGATCCTCATTCACGTAGCAAACGTCCAGAGTGTTCGACAAACTCGAGTCACAACATCCGTCAGACATCATGGCTAAACTCTTTCAGAGTCCAAGTCGTTGTAGAATCTTGAGCGAATTATCGCATCTCATTCAAATCTGCCAAAGAAGTGGCCTTCGGGCGATTTTCTTTCCCGGTGAATACTCTTGTTACATACATGCCCTCAAAAACGCCAAGTTTCATCCTCTCTCGTCAATCAAAAAGAGGTTTGCTTCCCCGAAATGTCCACTCCTAACGGAAGGTAACCCCCTTCCAAGCCTCTCGATAGTATCCAGAGACACTGCTTAAGAAGTCAAAAGGATCACCAAAAACCAAGGGCTCTCTCCCTCCTCTCGCAACAGGTACGGAGCGAGGTTTTGTAAAAACCCAATTTCCCTTTTTTTTTGCCCACCTTCCAATTCTAATCTGGGGTACCACCTCCCAATGCTGATGCAGGTTATCCGAAGTAAGGCGAAACAAAAGAAAGCCCCCAGTAAGGGGTTGAGCAGGGCAAGTTCGAAGAATCAGTTGCAGGGCCTAGGAGAGCTCAATACCACAGGGCGTTCTCGGTAAACTCCGATGACAAGAGGTGCAAGAATGCTCTGGGTGATGCCCCCTTTGCCGAATGTACAGGTCGAGGCCAAGAGCGTCGAGGGATAGTTCAGTATGTACCAATTGCGGGTTCGTCGCCAAATGAAAAAGTGGTCAGGCGTCAAGCCGCTGGCGCGGAATGCACCTCAGATAAGCGGGTGCACATTGAAGATCGCACGTCGGGGGGCGCTCACTCCTCCTTCTTTGGCTTTTCCGCATCCTCAGCTGGCTGCTTCTTGTCTTCCTCAGCCTTAGCCTTCGCCTTCGCCTTGCCCTCGTTGTACTTTGTCATCTTTTCAGACATGTACCGAACGGAGCGGCCGACGCCTGCAGTAAAGAAGCCCTTGATCGACTGGGCGGTCGCAGGCCAGTTTACAGTCTGGCGAATGACCTTGCGGATGGACTTTTGCAGCTCCTCGGGCTCGTCTTGGACGATGCGCTGCTCGAAGCCGCCTCCCTCGCGACGCTTGAAGCTTACGGCGTCCTCGTCCTTGGAGGCATCCATCATGGCCTTGAAGTCAGCAGTCGGGACCATGAACTTCTTCTGGTACTGGAAGTAGAGGCGTGAGCGGAAGGCCTTGGGCAGGCGGCGGACCATGTTGCCGCGCTTAATGGGATCCATGTCCTGGTACATGGCGCCGTCGTACCCGGCGTCGGCGACATGCTTGCTCTGCTGGTCGGCTCCGTCGGCGAAGTCAACGTTGGGGAGAGTATTGAGAAGCGGGCCATACAACTTGCGGAAGGAGACCATGTTGTTGTCTACAATGTTGGAGATCTTGCTCTTGTTCTCGGTGGGGAGAGACATGCGCGGGTCGCCGAGGTAGGAAATGCCGGCAATGGTCGAGAAGAGCTCCTTCTCGGTGAACTTGGGGGGCAGAAGCAGAAGAGCAGTGCGGACCGCCGAGATCAAGTTGACTTGGTTCGCGAGGCGAACTCGGGGGTGATCACGCAGGATCTTAACCGGCTTGTGAAGTCTTCCCGCGAGGTACAGGTTGTTCCAGGTCGAAAGGTCGGTACAGAGGTTGTCGATGGACGTGACGCCATATTTGATGAGCATGCCCTTCTTGGTGACGTAGGGGTTGAAGTAGACGCCTGCGCCCCAGCGATCCTGGGTGGTAGAGACGAGGCCCGACCCGAAGCTGGCCAGACCAGAGTAGTGGTCACGGTGCTGTCTGATGTTGAGCGAATGCCAGTGCTGGGTGTGAGTGACACCAAAGATGAAGTCAATCATCTTGGGGCCCCCCTTCTGAACCTCCATCAACGAGGGGGACGGCTTTGGGTGGACAGCGCGAAAGTCCTCGTCCGACACGGAACGGCTTGCCTTGGACTGGGGGAAGACACCCGAGCCGTAAGCCATGGCGTACATGATGGGAGCGCGGAATTCCCGGACAACCTCGGTCAGGACCTTTTTGAACTCGGCGTTGACCTCCATGTGCTGGTTGATACCAAACTCCTTGTAGGGGAGTTCCTCGAAATCCTCAATCTTGGCATCAGGGTGCTCCTCCCAGTTGTCCGCCGAGAGAGTCGGACCTGTCCTCTCCTTCTTCTCGCGGCCCCAGTGAAAGTTGATCGCAGAGCCACGGTGAGTGTAAGGAGGAGGGCTGTCCTCCTGCTTGTTCTCACTGGCCGCATTCTCGTCCTTTTTGCCGGCGTCCGCTGAATAGTGGCGAGCTGGGTGGGAGAAGCTCAGCGCAAGGCCAGGCGCGGCCACGGTTCGAAGCGCCTGGCTGGGGTTGCCTCGGAGCTATCCTGCGCATCAGCCACAGTCGTCCCTAGCTTATTCGCAGCTTTCTGGAGAGGATATGGGGCTTACCAGAAGGCGGGAGAGCGTCATGATGGCGACTTGCGGTTTATGGTGCGATTTTGATGTTATTGATCTTTCGGTGGTCGATTTTGGGTTGAAGGGAGAAAGAGCTGAAAGGGGAGAGAAGCAACAGTTTCCAGGCTACCTGTGATTTCCACCTGCTCAAAGGAGACTCAACAATTACCTCAAAAGAGGCGGGCACGCTGATGTTCCCCAGGCGAGAGCAACTGGTTGGAACCCAGTTCGGCTTAGATTGAGTCGTCAAGCTTAGTCGTCGCAGCCAGGCTCGGCCTTGTGCTCAATATGCCAACCGGCCCAGCAGCAGGCTCTATTATCCAAAAATCCAACGATAATTCTCTGTGTCTGAATCGAGAAGCAAGGATGAGTGAACGTTGATACGCTCTTGCCAAGGGGATCGCAGTGGCTTCGAGCTCGGTTGTCCCGGACAATGATTCTCGTGCTGAGTAACGGCCCCTTTCGTATGCCCCAATTGGCCGAGCTTCTCCTTCGCAAGCGGTTCGATCGAGGAATCGGAATGGTGGACGTCTAGGCTCGGGAGGTCGGCTCGGCGTGGGCGTTTCGGGTGTTTGGTTGGGGTTTGTGGAAGGGGGGGGGGGGTAATCCGGAGGTTGAAGCTATCGTTGAAATCTGCTTCTGAGCACCGGAGCTTGGGAGAGCACAGCAACGCTTAGTCGCAAGGGCACGGAGCGGATCCTGGTCCATGCCGCCGCCAAGTCAGGAACAAGCTCCCACCACATGTGGGATATGCCCATCACGTCATGGTGCAGCTACTCCCTGTCGCCCAAAATACCCCAGTACTATGCTCGTACCTGTTCTCTACCCGTTTGTTAGTTTGAGCCACAGGACCACTGGTCTAGAGTCTTTGGTGTTTGTCTTACGCTATCTAGAAGTCTCAGGCAGCTGGACAATGGTGGAACTGAAAGGCCATGTGGGATGCCTGCTTGGTGAGTGTTTGATGAGAATAATACAGCTCGTCTTTGCCGCATGATGGCCCTTGGCTCTTCCCAGCCATGGAATTGATGGGCAATTGGCGAAATCGGGTTTTGTTTTTCTGGATAGATGACAACCTCACCTGAAGGTGCCGGACTTGGTGATGTTGTCATTCTGCATGTCTCGAAAAGTCGTGGGAATTCTACGCATGAGGTTTGGAAGAAGGTTTGGGAAATGGCTCTGCCTAAGGCTGGGAGCAAAGGACAGGCCAAGAGAGCGAGGTATCTACGTTGAAAAGTAGCAGGAGAAAACCGTCGTGATGGGGAAGGAACGATTTGAAGCCTTTTTGTTCTACAGTCGGCGGGGGAAAAGATAGACAGCAACATCCTCACTACATAATCTCAACCTACCTTACAGCTAAGGATACACTATCAACTTTTCTCCGCTCCAAAATCCAATTCGATTCGTGCTGTAATTCAACACTGCACTTCATCATGTCCAACATCATAGAACAAGATGAAGACTTGAGAAGGGCGCAAGAGATCGGCATGCTGCTCAGGAAGAGCCAGCGACATCCCTCCCGTGCCTCACCGCGGGGTACAGCGACACCACGAACAGCAGGGCCCTCCATGCTACGTCACGTGACTACATCCCCAGCATCCCCGGCCGTCAACAACCGCCAAAACATTGGCCGATCTTCAGGGCGCGTTGAGAAGTCGAGGAAGCTTCTTCGACAAAGCACCGGCGCAATGAGGTCGCATACCCCTTCGGGCGACCCTCCAGGGAGGCGCGCCTCTGTTACAAACCGTTTCCGCAATAGCACCGGCGGGAGCGCTCTTCCCAGACCTCATACTTCCTTGAGAGAATCCAGAGTACGCTTGGTTGCCTCTAGTAAACAAAAACAAAGACAAACGTTGGCCCGCTGACAACGAGAGTTAGACTTTTCGCGCAACACAACCAACATACAACCTATTCACCGGCGGCGATGCCAACAGCAGGCCAGGCTCGCGCGCAAGTCTCGCCGCCCCCGACTCCGTCCGCGCCTCATCCCACGAGAGCTCAAAAGAAAACATGGCGCCCCCCGATGCCGCCGAGTACGAGTCCCAGCGCCAGGTCATTGAGGAGCTCAAGGCCGAGCTGGGCACCCTGCGCTACACTATCAGCACCTTTGAGCAGGAGAAGCAAATGGCCGACGCCCGACACAATGCCGAGCTCGAGGACCAGCGCCGCCGCGCCCAGGCCGATTTCACGGCGAAACAGGCCGCCGAGAGTGAAAAGTCCCAGGCCGCGCGCCAGCTGGAGAATACCCAGAAGGAGTTGAGCGATCTCCGCGAGAACATCGCACAGGAAAAGACGAGCCTAGAGAAGCGTGCGCGCGACGCGGAAGAGGAGGCCCGTCTATTACAGGAACAATTGGAGGACTTGTCAAGC